TGCATTAGGAGGAGCATTGCCAGCAGATCCAGAGATGTCATTATTCCCCTTTATTCGGCTTTGGTGAGGCCACATCTGGAGTATTGTGTCCAGTTCTGGGCCCCCCACTACAAAAAGGATGTGGACGCATTGGAAAGGGTCCAGCAGAGGGCAACCAAAATGATTAGGGGGCTGGAGCGCATGACTTATGAGGAGAGGCTGAGGGAGTTGGGTCTGTTTAGTCTGCAGAAGCGAAGAGTGAGGGGGGATATGATAGCAGCCTTCAACTTCCTGAAGGGAGGTTCCAAAGAGGATGGAGAGAGGCTGTTCTCAGTAGTGACAGATGGCAGAACAAGGAGCAATGGTCTCAAGTTATGGTGGGAGAGGTCCAGGTTGGATATTAGGAAAACTCTATTTCACTATGAGGGTGGTGAAGCACTGGAATGGGTTACGTAGGGAAGTAGTAGAGTCTCCATCCCTAGAGGTGTTTAAGTCCCAGCTTGACAAAGCCCTGGCCGGGTTGATTTAGATGGGATTGGTCCTGCCTAGAACTTGATGCCCTTCTGATGTCTCTGCCAGTTCTACGATAAGGGGATGATTTGAGAACATGATCTTGGTAACTAATTGACCATTCATTATCAGTGGGAAATAGGTCAATGGAGTTACTATAGAGAACTTTCTGGGTGTCTGGCTGGTGAGTCTTGCCCACATGCTCAGGGTTTAGCTGATCGCCATATTTGGGGTCGGGAAGGAATTTTCCTCCAGGGTAGATTGGCAGAGACCCTGGAGGTTTTTGCCTTCCTCTGTAGCATGGGGTACAGATCACAGCTGGAGACTCCCTGCATCCTGGGGCCTTCCAAGTATTTGAAGGCTTCAATATCTGAGACATAGGTGAGAGGATTATTCTGAGAGGAGTGGGTGAGATTCTGTAGCCTGCACTGTGCAGGGGGTCAGAGTAGATGATCATAATGGTCCCTTCAGACCTTAAAAGTCTATGAGCAATCATTAACCCATTCATTAACAGACATCAAGAGTAGATGCTAGAGTGTATTTGTCTGTATTTACCTATATCCTGTTAGCAGTTTATCAAGAGAACCTAAAAACTAATTTGATTACAAGTCCGTTTTCATGCCTTAATTGCCTTACATTATCTAGGTGACTATGATTGGTTAATCTTAAAATAAAAAAGATGAGACTCTGCAGGAAATATATACCTACATAATATTACCTACATTATCTTCAGCTGGTATAATGAAGGACTGTCTAATTGTATTATGTAAATGAGTGTAACTGGTTTGTACTTGTGCATGCATGGGAAATAGAAGATTAACTTTAAAGCAAAGGTTCAGAAATTATCTTCATTACCTATTCTTCCTAGGACAAAAGCCCTGCTGTGACAATTTCTGTGAGGAGGCATGTCAGTCTGCTAGAGAACTCAAAGTAAGAAGTGGGTTGTGCCCACGAAAGCTCATGATCCCATCTACATGTTATGTTAGTGTCTAAGGTGCTGCTAGACTATTCTAGTTTACGTTTTTTCAGTTACAGACTAACTCAGCTACCCCTCTGAAGCTTCTGTATCTCTAGTTTGCTGAACTTTAAACAGGGAAGTTCAAGTGATGTGCCTGAGATCTTCCAAACTGATATTTGGAACACCTTGGAACAGACTTTACATCTAAGCTGCCTTCCATCTTACCTATTGAGATAATTCCAAAGAGACTTTTGCAAGTCATCAGATAAAAACGTCATAGTTTGAATCCTGATTTAGACAGACAGGATTCCTTAACCATTTCAATAACTTTCTTATTTTTATTAATAAATCTTTAGTTAGGTTACTATGGTTTGGCTGATAACATGGTATTTGGGTAAGACCTCAAATATGTATTGCTGGGACCCAGCAATGACAGAGCCCATGGTGCAGGACTGGTAGCTGGGGCCCTGGGCATGGGGGCGCTACATTCCCAGGTAAAATATTTAACTGTATAGGAGATACTATTACTATTTTTGTACATTTTTATATCCCTGATTTGGTGCTAGAAAAGTGCAGCTGCTAGTGATGAAGTCCTGTCTATTAGACACCGGAATTGTGTCATAGCTCCTGGAATAGTCCCAGATAGGGTTCATACCTCTTGCACAATTCCACTGATCGAACATTTAAGCACTAGGAAATTAATACCCTAAAAGCTTCACTGTGAAACAGTGTGTCTCCATCCATACTGAGACAAACCCCACAAAAATTGGGAAATAAAAAGTTAAGGCTAAGCAACTGCGCAAATCCCATACTCCGTCCAGTCATATGCCTTCCTTTCAATATAACTACCATACACTTCAGTCCACGTCCCCATAACTTATCTATACTGAGGTATGCCAGCCTTTGATCATCTACTTTAACAAGCTACCTGCTCCCAACACAGCAAACTATGTTAAACATCTACAACTAATAGTCATGAGACAGTGCATTTTAATACAGGACTGTAATATTAAGGAGGACAGATTGAGGCAACAGAGTTACGGTTGTGGTATGCACAACGTAGCTGTCTGTTTCTCTGGGTGCAGGAGAAGATATGTACTGTTATATGGATTCATTTTTCATTTCCTTGCTTTTCTGTCTCATATAGAATGTAAGTAACAACCTTAATTGCTTCACAATGAAGTGTGTGTATGAATATAAAGGAACACAAATACACAACACAGGAATAACAATGACTTTCCTCTTCAATTTAAGTTGGAAATTTCACAAAAAGAAACAGTGCAACTAGGAAGCAAACACACTTTCATTATCTCTGCTCTTCTGAAGTATTTGATCATTCAGGCACTGATTGTACTTGGTTCAACACATAGTATATGTACGAGCAGCTAACCATTCTCTGCTTAGGGCTGAGGCAAGCTATTTATAGCACTCAAGCACTACAGAACAGTTTGCACACTATGTTGGTACATACCGATCATCATCATCTGCATGAGCATTAGTGCCAGAGGTACTCTGAAGTGTGGGCAATCCTTCAGTGACCCCTTCATCTATTGAACCTGGGGAAGAAAAAAGGAACATCAATTTGCAATTTAATGCAAGTAAAAGTGCTCAAAAAGTGGGTAACTACATGCAAATTTCTCTTCCAGAATTGCCTGCAGATACTTCTTACTTCTTACTGGTTGGAGGCACACTAAAACTGCCAGAGAATCTTCAAAACCAATAGTAAGACCTCACGATTCTTCTCTACTATATCAAGAATTCGGCAGAGAGAGGGGCAATTTTAATATATGCTCAAATATTCAGCGTGTTAACAAAGCGTGAGGATAAACTCAAAGACAAAAAGTTGTGTTAAAATGCAGTAATGTTCTCAAGAAACGATCCCCCCCCCCCTTAACACTTTTAAGACAGAAAATGCTAATTTCAGGTAAAACGTAACTGTTTCACAAGATTTGTCCAAATTTTAAGCTGCACTGACCAATTTACTCCAGCTGATCGCTTAGATCTTTATTTCCCATGCCTTATGCATCCTCCATACATAATCCTATTTAATAGAAGAATGCCAATTCCAGGCTCTTGGTGCCCTTGGCTGATTAAAAATGCCATCCAAAGGAGACTAGTAGTATACCCACCACCTGTTGCTGCAGATGAGAAGAGAAGCTAGTTTGCATAATGGCTCATTAGGGCACAAAATGCCTTAGGAAATTTAGCTAGAGGTTTGGAAACAGATCTAGTATAACTTCAGCAAATCCTTACTTTCTTTATTTGATCATTGTTCAGACAAGTCTCTTTGGATTCAATGACAGTTTTGCTTGAGTGAGGGCTGAGTAAACTCAACAACAGCATCAACGTTTGACCAGACATCACCCTAACAAATTGGATAAGGAAGTTGATCAGGCCTTAGTGTCAATTTAGTTCCAAGACATATCTTCTTCGGCTATCCCTAAATGGGAGGGCATCTGGGCAGACCTTCTTAAATCTGTCATGCCACAAAGATCATGGGAATTTAATTCCAAAAAATACATTTTTCCCTTTTGATTTTTCTATTCCAGCAAAAATTAATAAGGTTCTGCCCAAAGATATAAAAAAGTTCCCTATGTTTTGGAACTGTTTGAATGTGACACTCCAAAGTTATTGTTACAGACAAACACAAAAATAAATGTCATTGGATTGATTGTAAGAGCATGCTTCACTCAGTGTTGGTGTCCAGCACGATCTTGTGCAAACCTCAGAAGTATAACTGATCTGCAGAAAAGTATGGTCATGGACATCTTAAATTAGGATATAAAGGGTTAACCGGTTATCTGGTAAGCATTTGCCTTAGCGGGGTCATCAGTTAACCGGCATCTGGACTACCTTAGTGAAGACAGATCAATATTCCAGATATACAAGTAAGCTGCTGAGGAGTCACGTGAATTTTTAATTCACCCTTTCTCTTCCCATCTTGCAAAATAGCCTGCATTTGCTGAACTTTGTACAACAAAGACTCTGTAGTGCCTGCATATCGGAACAGATATCTGGGGGTTTCACTGAGGAAGGTAGCAAGATTTAGAGGGAATGAGGAAAGACAATGGATGAATTCCAACACACTTCAATAGGAAAGGATCCACTCTCAATATGGTCTCAAGTACAACCTTAAAACAAAAACACCACCGCCGTTGGGGTTTCAGAAGAGATTGTCAAACAGGAGATACAAATGGACAGAGAAGAGAGACACCATGAGACGGAGACAGATGAGGACGACAATGCTTATCCAAAAGAAAAAGTGATAGAATGGAAAATGAAAAACCCTATTAAGATGTGAAGGAGTCACAAGGAAGGCCCATATTTCCCAATGAAAAGAAAAGGTATGGATCCCAAATATCATGGTCCCACATTTTGGGGTCACTGAGGAAAGACTCACCTCTGATAAGTTTCTGAAAACAACATTATGAATATCAAATTTAAAACTGTGGTTTGGTGTGATTTAAAATAAGCTGAGTATTGCTGGGTACACAAGATAAGATGTAATACAATCTATAAAAATAAAAAAATGAATTCTACATTGATTTATCCTTTACAATATTGCCAACTAATAAAATCTAGTATAAAAAAATCCATTTGCTGCTAGAGATTTCATTTGGTGTACTTATCTCTCTGATGGGAGTGATATCAGTGTCATGAAAATACCCTCTCAAACATAACTAGTGTTACTACAATAATGACATAATATATGTACAAAGACTCTCCCGCTGGTCTCTCTCCAATGTTAGAAAGTGCTCTTATGAATTGTTTAAGTGATACCACGTACAATAAACTGCACATGAGCAATTCTTGCATTGCCCAAGTAGTGAATGAGAGCTCTTTACAATATAAGAAAAATAGGCAGAGGAGCTTTTATGAATGCACTATAGAGCACTAAGATAAACATGTCATTTTAAAGGGGTAACGTGTTCAGGGAAGAGAATGTTGTATTTTAACATACCTCCTTGCTCCCACCAGTACTGCACTGTCCCAAAAACTGTGTTTTATCATACATTTGGTATAGTGCGAACCCTCAAAACCCCCCACAAAAACACAAGGCACGTGCACTTCTTTAGAATGCAGCAAAATAAGAATATAATCTATAATGATGGCATAATAGTGCTGTGCAAACAATGCTAAATGTAAATTCAAACACAAATCTTAAGAGTCTTTTATGCCAAACAGCAAAGGCAACACTCACAATACTGTTGTTGAAACATTTAGCCAAACTCTTTTGGTAAAATATTGATAAAATATCATAAAAATTGGAGGTATGCTCATCACTACATCCTGTACATAGATGACAATGCCTATAGAGGTATGATATGCTGGAAATAGGTTCTGGAGGCAAGCCTGCCTTTAGACAAAGGGATGTGGATTTACGTCTCTGCAGGGAGATATCTCTTGGGAACTTGAGTTCAGTGAATATTAACTGCAAGGCAAGGTAAAGACTGGCAACATTTCAGGGGGTTTGCAGGTGAGGCAGACAGACTGGTGCAGCTGGGAGCTGTCTCTTAGGATATGTCTGCATTAATGGTGGATTGATGCTGTGATGATTGGTTTACTGGAGGTCAAATTAGTGGATCTAGTCAAGACTCACTAAATCAACAGCTGAACATGCGCCCAACAACTCTTGTACTCCACCGGAATGAGAAGTTTAAGATAAGTTGATAAGAGTTTCTCTCGTTGACCCAGCACAATGTAGATACTGCAATAAGTTGACCTAGGTATGTCAACTCCAGCAACATTGTTCACGTAGCTGGAGTTGCATAACTTACATGGATTTACCCCATAGTGTAGACTTGCCTTTAGTCTAAACCAGCGTTTCTTAAACTGTGTTTCGCGGCACACTGGTGTGCTGCGAGGCAGTCCGAGGTGTGCCATGGAGATCTAGTGATCATATGTCCCTTTTTTCCCCCAGGACAGTCCCGGATTTAAAGACACCTAGCGCTAGTGCAGCACAGCAGCAATTCCCCGCCTCCACCCAGCACGTAAGCGGCTCCCATGGTGCTTTGCGCAGGTAATCAGGGCTGCTGCCAGTGGCGCGCAGTGTCCAGAGCTCTGAGCTCCTATGTAGCATGCGCCACTGTCCAGCAAGCTCCTCCCCCCACCGTGTGGCCCCTTCTCCGCTGTGCACTGCCAGCTTGGCCTCCTCCACCCACAGCTGCTGGAGAGGGAGAGGCGCTAGTTGGAGCCGGTGAGCTGCTCCTGGGAGCTGCCACCAGAGTCCCGGCAGAGCCCAGCTGCAGAGTGCTGCAGAGCGGGGTACATTCGGGCTCTGCTGGTGTGCTCTGTGCACGGCCTCTTCTCCCCCGGCCCCTTCCCACTCTGCTGGGGGAGCGGCAGTGCATGGACTCATTTGCACTGCTGCGCTCCGCAAGCCAAATCTGGGAGGGTGGGGGGTTTCTTCTCCCCCCCCCCTCCAAGCGCTCCTCCTAATGGGAGCCAAAGCTGCTGCGGGAACTGGAATGCATTAAAATTAGCACCGCGGGCGCCCCAGCTCCAGGCCTGGCAAGCAGTCCTGCATTGGAAGCAGCTGGGGCCAGAGCTGCAGGGACTTCTGGGGCCCGACCACAGACTCCAGCCCCGCAAACTAGAAGGCAAAAGTGGGGGAGGGGCTCAGAGAGAACTAGGAGGAAGGAGGGTGGGAGAGGAAGGGGCTTGTGCTGAGGGGAGGCACAGGGCAGGAGAAGAAAGGGGAAGGCACCAAGGGACAGGGTGGAGGAGAGACAGATGCCAGGGGGCCAAGAGGAAACAATGAGTAAGAGGGCAGGAGGCGGGAGGGGAAGTGTCAGTGAGGGTGCAGGGTGGTAGTGGGAGAGGAGAGGAGAAGGGCATTGGGGGCAAGAGGAAGCAAGGGGAGGGGAAGGTGCTGGAAGAAGGGTTGAAAGGAGGAGGGGCATGAGGAAGGCAGGGATGGAGCAAGTCATGTGTGAAGGCACAGAGGGGCATGAGAGGAACTGGGGCAGAGGGTGGTGAGGGTATGGGCATCAGGAAGAAAGAGGACAAGGGGGCGGGGGCAGTGAGGGAAGAAGGAAGCACCAGGAGGGAAAGTGCAGGTGACAGGGGACTCTGGGGGTGAAGCAGAAGGGCAGACACCTGCAGGGGAGAGACCAGCGCCAGAGGAGAGAGGGTTTGGAATGGGCCAAACTCATCCTCTATGGGTAGGAGGATGGTGGGAAAAGTTCTTAGAGGGGGTTACTTTCACTTCTAGTCATGGGTCCATGGCAAGCTTTCGTTCTTTTTTTCCTCTCTCAACAAAAATCCTTGGTGTTCCCCATAAAAAACAATTATTGTTTGGTGTTTCTCGGTCTTAAAAAGTTTAGGAAACACTGGTCTAAACTCTAGCAAAACACTCTCTTGCTAAAGCAGAGGTGGCTTACAATGAGATTCTACTATGTTGACCTTGGGCCAAATTTTTTTTATCTGCAGTCATGAAGGTGCAACATGCTACACCAAACCATTTTCAAAGCTTACAAACATTTGATTTTAAACTTTAGAGCATTTAGTCAAAATGATGGTCACTAGCCTAGTACACAAAAGCATGGCACCAAAC